GATAGTCGCGAGTGTCTTGCCGTTAGCGTCAGGCTTCAAGAGATTGACACCGCCAGGAAGTAGCCGGGAATCTGTGATTGAGATAGTGAAAGTGAGCCTGATGTGACCAAACGCTAATTGCCGGAGACGACCGATCACAAGGAGGCCCCGTGCGCCCGAAGGCCCTGCTCTTCATTCCGGTCTTGTGTCTCTCTGCGGCCAGCGTGTTGGCAGCACCGACCGTCGGATCACTGCGCGTATCTCCGGACGTCGTACCGTTGTCGCTACCCACGACGGTTCTCTTCACTGTGCAGATCTCCGACGCTTTGCTGATCTCGGGCAGCGTTAACCTGCAACGCTTGGGGGCCGATGGCAAGGTCATCGCGACGCTCGGCGTGTTCCGCGACGATGGCACAGGTGGCGATGCGGTGGCGGGTGACGGTGTGTTGGCGGTGCAGGTTCAACTCAGGGAGAGCCTCTCGTCGCGGGTGAGATTCACGGCCTCCGCGGCGTTCAGAGGAAGTTTAAAGCGGGTCCAGTCGCCCGCGTCGATTGTCACCGTCGTTGGGTCGGGAGGTTTAATTGGGACTGGCGGCGGGACGATCGAGGTCACAGATCCAGACAGCGCGTTGCTTGGCACTACGCTTGCGATTCCTCGCGGTGCCTTGACTGCACTGACAAGCATCAACCTAAGCGGTCAGATTGAAGCGGACGCGGGTAGTGCGCCTCTCGTCCGCATTGAGCTGTCGCCGTCCGGAACCACGCTCAGTGTTCCTGCCACGCTGACCTTTCCATACGCTCTCCCAATCGACGCCGATCCGGCTCTCGTTCGCGCAGCCATCTACAGCCCTGCTTCGCCGCTGCGCTTGGGCATGTCTGAGCACTCCAGATGGGAACGACTGTCGCTCGTGTACTACGCCAACGGCACCGTCACTGTGCCCGTGTCGCACTTCTCCCTGTTGACTGCGGGATGGGAGCAGCCTGCGTACACGGTTCTCCATCTTCCCGGCAGGTACTTACAGAAGGGTGACCTGATTTACGCGCTCGCTTTGCTAGAAGACGACCCGCCTGGCAGCTTTGACTGGTTTCCCGGACACGCGGGACTCTACGTTGGCACTTCTGAGTCCGGCGACACATCGAACGACGGCGAGACGATCATCGAGTCGACGCCTGACTCGGTTGTCTTGCACGCCGAGTACTCGAACTTCCGAGACGCGTGGTACCACATCTTCATGGGTGCCCGGCGCCATCGCGACGGGCTCACCGATGCCGAGCGGACTGCGATCTCCGAGTATGCGCTCGATCAACGGGGCAAGCCGTGGGATCCGGTCGGCCAGGGCGACTCCGGCCAGCAGGATAGCTTCAGCTGCGTTGGTCTGACGGAGGCGTCGTACGATGCGGCGGGAAAGAGCATCATCCCGGGCTATCTGGAATTCCCGGCGATTCTGCCGATCCAGCAGTACGGCAGGACAGTCCCTGTTGACACGATCACGCTCAGCGCTGGTACCCCGATGCTGCCAATCCCGGTCCGTGGAGTCGCGAGAGACGGGGATTACTGGAGCGAGACCGAGGCGTGGGCCACCGGCGTGAGGACGGACCTGGGGATGTCGTTCGACGGGGGTGAGCTGACTTGGCCCGCGCCCGTGGCGGGGACGTACCTGCTCCGGTTCTACTCGAGCGGAACCTACAATGGAAGGAACTACACGACCGAGCAGGACTTGAACGTCCAAGTGCTCCCCGGCGAGCACCCGACCGTGTCCGTTCTGCCTGGCTGCATTCACATCGGCGACGATGAACAGGCGCTGGGAGGATGCCCCGCGGAACCCGTCGCTACACCGCTGAGGGTCACCGCACCGCCGGGCGGATATTGCGATGGTGACTGGGCCATGGAATTCGAGGTGGCCGGTATTCAGTCCGACTCCGCCGTCTGTGTAAACAATGGCTGTCGAGACATCCTTGCACTGATGAACCTGCCTGGGCTGCCCGACCCCAGCGTGTTCTATCGCGTGGTGTTTGCCAAGGACCTCGTCCGCCCTGGTCCGCCCGTATCGGAAACGGGCAACAATCGAATCATCTTCGGCGTCACGAATACAGGAGACCCCCAAGACCCCGGCCGTGACGATGTGTTCGTCCGGGCCGTGCGACTTGTCTGTAGGTGAAGCCGAGAACCTCGGCGCAATGAAGGTAGCCGTGCGGCCTCGCAGATATGGGTCCTTGTGTGCTTGCGAACTGGCATTGCCGGACTGACCTGTCCAGCAGGGCGATCACCAGTACATCGGGAGCGAAGCAAGATACTGCGGTCTATCGGAGGTGATTGGCGGTAGTCACCGATGTCGTCATCGAGGGCGTGGTTCAGGTAGACGCTGGCCTGGAGAACAGCTGGCAGTTCATCTCGCGGCTGTTTGCGGCAGTCTGGCGAGGCTCACACGGCGCTCTCGGGTTACTTCTGGCAAGGCAACAGAAGTGATTCAGCATGTGGATAGCGGAAGGAACTGAGTTGTGACCGGTTTCCATTGTTAGAGGACAAGACATGAAGAAGGCTATCCTCATACCAGTCCTGACACTTGTTGTCATTGCTGTCGGTGCCACCGTTTGGCTTCACGCTGCTCCGGCTCTCCCTCCTGCTCCCGCACCCACAGTTGGTGTACTGACTGTGACTCCAGACGTCGTCAGCGTCGGTACATCAACTCAGGTCACTTTCACTATCTCAATCACAGATTCCCGGCTACTTCCTGGCGGTGTCAATCTCTTGAAGCCTGACGCTAACGGCAAGACACTCGCGACTATCGGCGTGATGCGTGACGATGGCACTAACGGTGACGCTGTGGCTGGAGACAAGGTCTTCTCATACCGTCTGACCTTGACTGAGCCTAACACTGGACAGGTGTTCTACCGGGTATCCGCCGCGTTCAAGGGAGTGTTGGCGAGGAGCCAATCCAATCCGGTCTCCATCAGTGTGTGGGGTACACTCACCGAAACGCTCAACAATTCCGACAGATTGAGCCTAGCGTACCCACCTGATTGGTTGGCCTCTGCAAGCGACACTAGCGTAGTGATTAGCAACGTTCAACAGTTGAGCCCGTTGAGTGAACGCGCACTTCAGACAGAAGCCGTTTTTGTGATTAATGTGCTGCCCAATTCGAATCCTGAGAACCTGACTATTAGCCAGTGGTTCGACCAGCACTTCGCCACCGGCTTTCCGACTGATCTGATCGAAAAGAGGGCACTCTCTGTTGCTGGGCGTCCCTCCATACGGATAGAACTCACTGAAATTGGTCGTCGAGTGCACATATATGTGCCGAATGGCGTCGATGTCGTCGAGATTACCTATGGTCTGTACGCGTCCGCGTTCGTCAGCACATACGAGTCAATCCTGCGGAGTATACAGCTGTGACATGTCTACCAACACCAGTCGTCTCGCATTATCGCCGACTCCTCGTTTGTTTGACGGCACTCGCGGTCGTTCTGCTGACTTCAGCGGAGCCCCGCTCCTCTGATGCCGTGGATTTCGCTGTCAGCCAGATTGGCAAGCCATATGCCTTGGGTGCCACCGGGCCTAACGCCTTTGATTGTTCAGGACTGATACAGTCCGCCTATGCACAGGTAGGTGTCCAACTTCCTCGCACAGCGAGGCAACAATCCGAGATCTCGTTCGGCCAGCGCGTTACTAGCGACTTCAAGCGCGGCGATCTCCTCTTTTACGGCACCGATGACAACGAGCCCGATGCGGTGAGTCATGTTGGAATCTACGTGGGCAACAACCGGTGGATCAGTGCGCAGACTCCACTGCCGCAGCCTAACGGCGAAGTACTGGAGTCTGACACGACGAACCCGTATTGGGCTCCCAGGTTCGTATTTGGCGTTCGTATTGGAGTCGCGGCCCCACCGATTCCCACACCAGTCGCTACTGCTGACACGTATGCAATGACCCAGGGCACAACTCTGACTGTCCCCGCAAGGGGCGTTCTGGCCAACGACACTGTTCCAGATAATTACCTGTCCGTTACCTATTTGAACGTTCCTACAGGTTTCGCTGACCTCGGCAGTGGCGGTTTCAGCCTCACTCCTTCGCCTGACTTCTCAGGCACCGTCCAGTTCGCCTATTCGATTCATACCAGTGCTGTCGATAGTGCGACTGCTACCGTCACGGTTCAGGTGTCACCTGTGCCTGTCCCGGTTGGGACTCCAATTCGTCTTCCGGTTTCGATAAGTCCAGACGGAACGGTGAAGTTCAACTGCCCCCCCCGGTTACGACATTATTGGTTTCGAGAGTTACCAAGGAACTTATCCAGATACGAGCACGCACACGTCGATCATCAGCGTAGACCGGGCTTACTCGTGCTCGGGGCTCGGTGGCAACGGGTACTCGATGGAGGGCGTCTATTTGGATTGGACTGCCCCGATACCTGACGGCGATTACTGGGTCAGGATCAGCAAGGAATGGACTCAGTACGGCAGCACAGATTTTACACGAGAGTGGTATTACTGGACGGCGCGGAGAGAAGGAGGGGTGTGGAAGCTGATATCAGGTGTCTCCAATACCAGCAGCATTGACACACTCTCGGCTCCTTTCGGATGCTCAAGCAGTCAATCCGGCAACTTCCAGGGCTATCAGTACTTGGGGCAAGGCCTCACGGGCAGGCTGTCGGAAGTGGACCTGAAGATCCTGACACCCCCTCCGACGTACTACGGCAAGTCAGCCGGCGTCCAGATTCGGGAGAGCGACACCTACCTTTCTAGTTGGACTGACATCCGCACTTTCGCGACAGTTGTCTGGTCTCGGGGTGAGGCACCAATCGGAAGCAGTAACCGAATCGGCATTAGCTCATACGACGGGATCGTGCGTTTCGCGAATCCTGAGTTGGGCGGCGCCTACGACTTCCAGCCTTCGAAGTACTATTACCTAGTTCCGCTCTTCTTCACGTCGGACGGCGGGGGCATCTGCCAGAACTCGTACTTCTACGGAAGCCTGAACGGAACTGCGTACCGGTTCGGCGCCTTCTTCGGAGATCAGTACGTGAAGGACCTGTACTTCGACCTGCAAGGTCTGTCATTTGCTGGCACTCCATCCGTGCTGCCTGCAGAGGTCATCTACTGGCAGAGTAACTCCAGCACTTTGTCGGCCTCAACACCGTCCGTTGACAGCCCTGTGTTTCAAGGCATCGCTGGCGGTGCGGGAGCGGTTACATGGAGAATCCAGGACTTTGAACGAACAGGTGTCCTGGAAATGGCGATGTACGTGCGAGACCTGACGGCCGGAAAAGACTATCTCTGCGAAGGAGACGGCACTGGAACCTACGGGTATGCTGTGAGAGTCAACGGCGGGGACATCGATTTGACTTTCGATTGCCGAAGAGCGGCTTTGCATGGCGACATCGTCAACAACGGCCTTTCCTTCCAGGGGTTGCCGTCGGTTGCTCTGGATCCGACGCATACCTATACGCTCAGCCTGTTCAGGAACCTCGGAGTTGGCCCCTTCAAGTACTACGGCAGTTCTTCCGGCGAGCCATACGTTCTGTTCAAGGGTGCTGACCTCTTCTTCCAGGCAAACTCGTCCGGCGTCACAGCACCCCATCCTGGGAACTACTGGATTGAGACTCTCATCCATGATGCTTCGGACGGCACGTGGAATGTGAAGAAGGTTGCCATCGCGGTAGATGGCGATTTCTACAACGGGTGGGGCGTAGCCGGGCTCACTGAGAACATATGCAAGACGCTGGATCTCTCGTTCCCAACACACGGCGGTGCATGGAACGGGACACAGAACAACATATCAAATCCGTGGGGAGTGCCGTGGCAGGGAGTAACAGTTACCGCGGACCCGGTAGCCGGCACCTGCACGTTTGAGAATCCGAACGGCTTAGTTACGCTGGCGAATGGGACTGCTTACGACTTAGCATATTCCTCTCATAGCGCAAGCGGACAGTATCTGTGGCCTCGCGGGTTGCCATCGGGCCCAACACTTCATGGCGGAGGCTTCGGATACTTCACCTACGGCAACAATGCTGCGCCGACTCTCTCCTCTGAGATTGTTCAGGGTGCAATTGTCGTGTGCACCGACACTTCCTGCAATCCAGTGTTCAAACGATAGGCGCTGTAGTTTGTTCTCTGGTAACAGTCTGCTCTAGGTCATCGTGGACGCTGTTTCTTGGTAAGCGGTAAGGGAGCTACAGGTCCCGGGCCGGCTGCCAGTGGGCTGGCGTGAGGAACTCGATGTCGGTGATCTTTGTGGTCGGCAACCGCCGCAGGACGTCCGTCAGGTACTCCTGCGGATTGATGCCCCGCCGGCGGCAACTGGTGATGACGGTGTAGGCGACGGCACTGCGCCAGCCGGCATCGGGATGGCCGATGAAGAGCCACCGTTTGCGTCCGACGGCCGTCGGGCGGATATCGTTCTCGATCAGATTGTTGTCGATCTCCAGGCGGCCGTCCGCGAGATACCCCGTCAGCGCCTCGTACTCGTCGAGGAAATAGGCCACAGCCTTCCCGAGCAGGCTCTGGGGCAAGACGCGATCGTGGCTGCGTCGGTTTCGGCGACTCAACGTGCGTTACGAACGTCGTCCGTGTGTCCACGAAGCGTTCCTCACCTTGGCGTGTGCCTTGGTGTGCTGGTACTTTGTGAAACCAGGCTGTTAATTCCGCAACGCGCTCTTAGGACAACAGAGCGTGACGGGAGACCGGCCGGGCCCCTTGAGGGCGTGGCGCCTACCGCAACAGGCCATGTCGCCTATCTGTTCTGCTTCCAATAGCTTACCGACGCGCGGTAGGAACGCAAAGTGGTCGATGAAACGGATAGCCACCAGCTTCCGTGGGTTGTGCTTCAACCCAGACGCGGACGACCTCACGGTCAGCTGACTGCGCAGTCCAATTCGACCTTCATGTCGTTGTCGTCACGAGCCGTCCGCCACCGTCTCAACTTGAGTCGGAGGCCAGTCGTGCCGGCGTTCATCTGGCGATGCTCATGTCAAGACTGGCGACACTCGAAGAGATAATCGCGGAGTGGGGCTGGTGCTGCTGGCAGAGATCCCAGAACCTCGGTGGCGGCCTTTCAGCGATGTAGTTGGCGAGTCGGTCACCCTCGCGTAACGTCGTCCAGTTCCCAAGCGACTCACGGAAGGCCTCAAATACGTCCGCCTGGAGCTGCGCTGCTACCGCAGCCGCAAGACACCTCCCGACGCTCCGCCATGACGATGAGGACGTCGCTCTTCGCTCCATGATCGGGTCAAGCCACAGCGAGATCCTCAAGAGCCATTCGTCCTTCGCGTCCTTCGCGGAATCCGCATGGCAGGGCCAGTGTGCCGCCAATGCGCGCTTGAGCCAAGCGCTGACGTTCGGCTGGTGGTTCCAGTAGTCTCTCGCTGCATTCACACGGCGATCCCACCCGCACGTCGCGCGCAAACCCCGTCGCCCCGCCCCGCGTCACCGTGAACGTCGCCGTGTCGCCTCCCAGTTCGGTCGCCGTCGCATCCGTCGCCGCAATGTTCGCTGCCGGCTCGTCCGCGATCGTCGCCGTCGCCTCGGTCCCTTCTGCCGTCAGCACCACCGTCTCCGCCCCTTCCAGCGTCACGTCGACGAGTGGCGTCACTGTCAGCGTCGCCGACGCCTCTCCCGCCGGAATCCGCACAATGACATACGA